GGCAATGAATGTACAAATGCGCTTTACACAATTGATGTATGTATGGATTGTGATAGAGTTGTATGAGCCTCTAATAAAATGATTAAAAAAAAAAAAGATACCCCCAAGGGGGAAAAAAAACCAAAAGCAAACAAACAAAAAGGTTCCAAATGGCTTCTCTTAGAAAAAATTAAGCATAATCCTTTCTATGGTAGGATAAACAGATTGCAATGTTAAAAGCTGGTGTGCATCCTTAATGTACTTTCTCTAAATCTGTGTTAATAGACATATCTTGAATATTTGATGAGTACTCCTGACTAGAACTTTGTCGCATGGCTATACCAAGCTGAAAGAGAATGAAGAAATATAATTTGTAGTTGGGCAGCTATATTAAAACTTGGGTATTCTTTTATTATAAATGGGGGAGAATGGATATTGCTGAACAAATATTAGTCCTGCTATAAATATTTAACATCTAGTTTCACTAGAACTTAATTTCCTGTAATCAAAACCACCCAAATAACACAAAACTGCTAAGATTATCTTTAAGTTCAAGTATGGCACAAAGCTGTACAGGATTTTTTTCCTGAAATTGGACAAAATATTATGTTAGGCTGGCTCTTTAAGAAGCAAAATCATTGATAGCTATATGTGTATATAGAGAAAGTTTATTTCAAGAAAAATGGCTCACAGTTGTAGATGTGGTTAAGTTCACTTTGATTCAAGTCTGTGTGTGAGATGTGAAGCTGAGACTTTTCTTGTGTGGCCAAAGGAGCTGGGAAACTAGAATGCTGAAAATAAACCAGGAGGCAGGGAGACCAGGCAGAAAGATGAAGCAGGAAAATCATGCAGGGCTCACATGAGATAGATTGATAGATCAGAGGTTGGGACTGTGGCCTGCAATATTCCCTTTTGATTCTGGGAGCTATCAGCCTCCAGCCATAACCCCACCAGATGTAATACCCACCAAGACCAGCAAGAAGAATAGGGAGACAGCGAGACTCAGAGACACAGAGGAGCTGATCAGGTCTTTACAGTCTAATTCTGTATGAACTAGCCCACACCCCCAAGCAGACTTTTTCAGGTTCAGCCCTGCACCATGTGGGACAGGTCTTACCACCATACTCTTGAGGCTCTTGGCCTAGCCAAGTTAAAATAAAACCCAACTATCACAAGTATCAATTAACTACAGCGATTCTGCTTGGATTGACCTTTTAACTGAATTTTATGTACACACGCACACACACACACACACACACACACAC